GAGGACGATACATAGAGCAAAGAGGACGAAGAAGAATCGACGAGATATACGAGGAAAAAAAATATGAACGTTCTTTTCATTTGTCGACATCGATTATTCGTTTTCACTTTGACGCCGATTTTTAAGAATTATTTTTATATATCGTTAGTTAAAGTCTAGGGGATAAAAGGAAAAATGAAAATAGTATTACTGTCACCGCCGTTGCCATATTATTATAAAATTAATATATTATATATATATATATAAATTTTAGGGTTATGCATTAATTAAATTAAGTATTCCTATATGTAGTAACTATAATTATGTATAAATAATTTCACGTATAGAATTTCTAGTCAAGTTTAGAATGGGAAAACGTACTAAGCTCGTGCAAGGACACACGGTCGGCCATTTTGATTTCTCGATTGAACGGGGGCTTTTTCACTGATCGTTTGATTGGAACACACCGAGTGACTCGCGCTAATTAATCAAAGAAACACAATGTTCCGTTCGAGGCGTGACATTTCGAGAAACGAATTAGTACACTGCGGATTTTTATGTAGCAAGAATACAATTAGAAAATTAGAATTACGTTGGTGAATGGTTTAATTAATAAACACCATAGTGTTTCATACAAAGTGTTATACTTTGAATGTTTCGTATATTTCTCTACATTCTGTGCAACGTTTGAAAATGTCCCATGGACCCATAAGAATCCGCAGTTCATTAATTAACCTGTCCTATGACGCCGTGTCACTAGTGACAGTTTTCAACCGAATTCGACGAATACAAATATCACTTGTTTGTTAATTAAATATTACTTTCCCATTGTCAGTCGTTGACAGTAAACGTAGACATAGCATCAAACTCCTCTCTAACAGATCGTTAACACGTTGAACGCCGCACGATTTCACGTAGCGAATAGCACAAAGTGTAACCAATGCAATCAAATGATTTCATTGAATCGTTATTATTATTGCACCGCATTAGCATTATTTGTAATACAAAAAAATTTCCAAATAATCGTTCAATCGACTGAATAACTCGATTTCCTCGGGGGTCATCGGTGATCCCGCGACATTCAACGTGTTAACGAAACCTTCATCGGCACAGTTGCGAAAGAAGCAACGTGTTAATCATCTCATTAAATCCAACGCCTCGAACGAACTGAAACGCCATCCGAGGAAACCGAGTGACAATGAGAAAACTCGAACAGTGGCCAGAGAATTGTCCTAGTTTCTTGGATCGCCAACACCCGTGACGCGATTGTAGTCGCTGTACAAAATCAATGACAAATTCGAGACATATCCGAGTCACTGTTGACAGTGTCCTCACGCGGAACATCGAGATTGGGATTCGAACGAACCGACAAAGCATCGATCAACGAAACTGCGGGGACAAGTCGATTCTTTCGTTGGCCACGTTGCAGCGAACCTGGCACTCGCACGTCGCAAGCTCCTATCCCCCTCCGCATCGAGACATCCAATCGCGAGTCGAGAAACGGCTTTCCCCACTCCTTCGCCGCAGCGAATCGAGAATCAGTGCGAGAACCGGGGATTCACACGAGGAGGACGCGTCTCTTCGAGTCCGACCACTCAGACGAGAGTGCCAGGTTAGCTGCGACGCACGGTACTCGCACGTAAGCTTTCGTTCACACTACAAGACGAGATTGTAACGGACAACGGTTAATTGTGTATCCGAGAGTCACACTGAATAATAACAGCATGGTATAACTGATCTAAAAAGCATTCTTTACTGGGCTAGGTCCGAGTCGTTTCTATTTGACGTCAGTTTCTCGGGGCTGCTCTTTCGAACCAACACGACTGCGCCGGGAACAGACGGGAAACCATATTCAGACACGATATTTTCTCTCCCGCTTTCACAGGAACGTTTCACCGAGTCCCCTGAAACTTTTCCTCGCGAGATTCGGGGATCCCCCTTCGGATTCCACGGAAAATTCACGAGTTCCCCTGGTTTCGAGCAGCTCCATGCGAGGTAACTCGTTTGGCGACACGTTTAATGCGAGTGTTATGATGATTATTGAAAAACAGACGGGATTTTCGATGGAATCTAGTAGTTGTCGAGATCTATCGATTGATAGAATTGGTAAGGGAAATATTGCTACAGTAACCCCCTGTGACCATTTAGGATTGGATCATTTTGTCACAGTGCTCTGGACAACTGTTGCAAGAGAAATCTCGAGGATTAAAGCTTCATTTGATAATATAATTACGGTAAATTTATAAAATAATTCACAGAGACTCGTCAGTTAAAATATGGGTTGAAATATTTCTGGTCTAACTCGTGTTAACACTAGGTTTGCCAATGTTTGTATCGATTGCGATCGATGCAATTAACACTAGAACCATTGAGCAGTCAAATATTTTCGAAATTTTTTGAAACTCCAGTGCCACTGAGATTTCTATTGATTTATAATTCAGTTTACCTATTACTGAGTCAATGTAATTTCTCAGACCTGTTATGTTTTTAATCATTAACCTTTCGCGGACGAAGATTCTTTGAAATGTACGAAACCTTCAGCTGAAGTTAAATTATATATCGATTGCTTAAATGATAGAAAGAAAAGAAATTATACAGATCTCTCGCTGTTTTGAATTGAATCATTTGTTCGCGACTTACTCTTCCAAATATTAAACCTCGAAATTCCAAGGACATCCACTTCTCTGACAATGGAATAAATTGTCTATGAACCTAGTGTTCTCTCCTTGCATCAGTGTCTCACTGTCAGTAGTTTCTCAACGATCATCAACTGTTCATCGCGTTATGGGAGGTGCACTGTACCATGGGACTTCGAGGAATATTCTTACGAGGTTTACGAAAAATACAGAACAGCGAGCGTTGCGAAAATGAGTAGGAAGAGGGTGAATGGAGGAGTGAAAGGGGTGAGAGCGACGAAACGGAAGAATGAAAAAGTACGGGGTCGTAAGGGGATTTCGGAGCTTGCAATTGCTGAGACTAATTGCCAAAATTGTAATTCGCGATTCGAAGTGTTCCCGAGTCGGGGATGGGTGTCCGCGCGGTGGGGGCGGTAGCAGGGTGGGTGGGTTGAGTGCGGAAGTACTAACACTAGTGTTATTATCGTAATTGTAACGATTAATGGTAACGATCATAATCTTATCGGTAAACGCTAAATGATAATAAGGGACGGAATAACGAGGAGGAGGAGGAGGAGGAGGAGGGAGCAGTAGAGG